GGTGAAGGGAGGGCTAGGAATGGGGAAAAAATAAGAACCAAGATGCATCATGTAAAGGTACAAGTTCCCAATGAGAAATGTAATTGTGTTGCATACCTAAAAATAAAAGAATTTAAGGAAAAAAATATCCAGAGTTTTACCCCTTTCAGTAAGTTAAATTATTTATCAGTTTGTCTCTTTTTGCTTCACATCAGTTGTAGAGACAATGAAATGGAACAACTACCTAAATAAAGTCGTATCTCCTCTTCCTTTAATAATCTTCAGATCTTTGACATCTTACAGTAAACTTTATCTAGCTTTTCAGGTTATCTAAATTTGCTTTTTATATTTAACACTTACATTTACCTTTTAAGTTGAGCAAATGCTATTTTGAGCTCAGCAAACACCTGTGCAAATTAATTTGCAATCACAGAAGTTTGAATGAAGAAAACAAAGCCAAGTTACTAACAGAACTCTTGTTCATAAATAAAAAAGCAAACCCAAGAAGAGTCTATAACATTTTTTTTCAAAAACTAACAAAAGGCATTCACAAAGCATATCAATCACATAAACTCCATTTTCATCTAAGTACTCCAACAGATTCATGGGAAAATCTGAAGATGCCTAGTATTTATCTCAAGTTATGGGATTAAAGCAAACATTTCCATTTGTAGCCCAAAGTTATTTGAAATGTTACCAATTCTGAATCAGGGGTAGAGGCAAAGCCTCGTAGAGACAAGAAGAGGTTAAACTGTGTCAAAGGGACATCCCTCAGGTAGTAAAAGCAGACATTTCCCCCATTTTAGTTTCCTGTCCCCTATTATTTCAAAGAAGCTCCTGAAGAACGAGAGGGAAAGAAAGGAGGCGCGGTAGGAACACTGTGGTGGAGGGTAAATTTTAATTAAAGCAAAGAACAAAGAAAACCAGAAAATCAAAGGAGAAGAAACTCGAGCTTACTGAGGAGATGTGGAGACAGCCGCAGAGTGACTGCCATGACTACCGTGAGGCCCATGGAAAGGCCTAGAAGAGGCGTGGGGCTGCTCCGCTCGCTGCGCCAGCCGCAAGCGGCTTCACGGAATTGTAGTGCTCCCCGAGGCTGCAGGCATAGTGCAGGTAGACAAGGGTGAGTGGCTTCTTGTGGTACTCTTCCCCAATGACCCAGGTGGGTGAATTGGCCTGGATCACTTCGATGGGGGTCTGCAGGACGTGCGACAGGGCCCTCAGCTCGAGCTGGCCTCCCCATGATGGGCGGTGAACGATGTTGTCGCAGTAGGTCATGAAGTCGTCGCGGGTACAGGTGTCATCTGTTTCGGGGTTGCTGAAGAAGGGCAGAAAGTCGTCGACGTGCTTCCGCATGTAGTCGGTGGTGCGGCGGCGCAGGCCCTCCACCGTCATGGAGAATACCAGCTGGTCTTGGATGGCACGGTACATACAGTGGCTGTCGGCAGGGATATCCTTCATCTCCAGATACTTGGCTCCCAAGATGGTTGCGAGCTTCTCTTCCTCCTCTTGCCGGAAGCTGGCCAGATGCTCCATCTCAGCCAAAAGGATCCTCTCCTGCCACTCTCTCACCATGGCCTCTCTTTTTTCTCGCCTTTTCTGTGCCCTAGAGATGTGGGGGTGCTGGTTCTCGAGATTCATCTTCGCCAGATTTTCGGTGGCAGAATCCAGGTTGCTGTTGCCAGGGAACTTCTCTTGGAACTTCTCTAACTCCTGCTGGTGCCTCTACTCCATCTTGGCCCGGAGGCAGGCCGTGTCGAGGAGCAACTGCTTTCTTTTCTTCTTGTCACTCTTGGGGACGGAGCTCTTCAGGCTCTGGATGTGGGCCTCTAGTTCTTTCTTCTCGCGGTGGTGGCGACGCAGCATTCGCTGATGTTCACTCTGGAGGTCTTCCATGACATTAACCGGAGGCAAGAACCAGAGTTTGGTGCCGGCTCACAACGGTTTAAATCACCCAACAGGCCACAGATCCTCAGCCTGTCCTAGTTCTAGTGCTTTGATGACCTCACGGGCTACCTTCTATCACCCCAGTCACAGCCCTCTCTACTATTGGCCACTGTCTCTCCAGGGCTACACCCACTCAGATATGTCTGGCACTATGATTGGCTGTTGGAAGACCCTAAATATGTCCTTCTTAAACCCCGTAGCAACCACTGCTTCCAGTTTTAACGGAATGCAAATACCGTTGGGAAGATCCTGCCTTCTACAGCTTGTGCCATGATTGGGCATGTAGAATTTTTCAGTGATTTCTACTACCCACTTCATTTCCAGCAAGTTTGTTATGTGTATCAAAGTTTCATTCCTCTTTTTGGGGGAAATACGATGGATTTATTGTAGTTTGCTTAACAGTTCACCAGTTGAAGGACAGCTGGTTTGTTTTCAGTTTTGAAATACCATGCAAAAACTTGCTATAAACATCTGCCTACAGGAGTTTGTGTGAGTCTTCATTTCTCTGGGGGAAAATGTCCAGGAGTGCAATTGCTGGGTCATATTTAAAGTATATGTTTTTTTTGGGTTTTTTTTAAGAAAATCTTTTACAGAATGTCTGTACCATTGTATATTCCTACTAGCAGAGTGTGAGTCATCTAGTTTCTCCGAACCTTCACCATCACTGGTTGTCACAGTTTTTTGTTAGCCATTCTAATAAGTGTATAGCCATATTTTATTGTAGTTTCAGTTTGTATTTCCCTTGTGGCTAATGATGTTTATCTTTTCATGTGTTCATTTGTCATCAGTAACATACAGTCTTCTGTAAAGTGTTTAAGTCATTTGCATATTTTCTGATCAGACAATTCTTACTGTTAGTTTTTAGCATTCTTTTACATTCTAGATATGAGTTTTTTTGTTGGATTATGTGCTTTGTAAGTATTGTCTCCCAGTCCATAGCTTTTTTATTTTTTATCGTCTTCTTAGCAGGGTCTTTCTCAGATCAAAAATTTTTCATTTTGATGAGGTTAAATTTATCAAATTGTCCTTATATAGATCATATTGAGACAGGAGAGAAAGGCCTGATGCTCCTCAAAGGCTACTTTTATCTCACAGCTGCTCCAAACACTCCATAGCCTGGCATCAGCTGCATCGGGCCTCCATGGTTGCTTCAAGAAATATTTCCTTTGTCTGTGGCAGACTTTAGTCACAGACCTGTCATAGGTACCTTACCCTGCAGCCCCTCTAGATGACTCACCCCTTTGCAGTCCTCCTCAGTCAGGTCTACTAGAAACCCTCTCCCTTACCCATGACCACTCTATATAAGCAAGCTCTTCTAGTTCTGCACTAGTTCTAATAAAGTCTCTTCAAGTAGCATATCTTGGCCTTCATGATTTCTGTCTGAAGTGGCTGGTGACTGAGCTGCTGACACTGAAGATGGCTGGCAGCCAGATAGCAAAGGAGAGCAACAAAGAACATCTGGGAACTGCCATCTCTAGTGCTGGAAGAGCCCCTGAATCCTACCAGTAGCTGCTTGCTCCAAGCAGCAAGAAGGGCTGTTAACATTAAAGGAGCTGATACCTGCTGGTATTCAAAGCTCAGGGCCATTGACACTAAAAGAGCTATGGTTTGCCAATTTGTGATTTCTGTATGAATTGAGCAAGAACTCTCAGTTTTTTGGTAACATCCTGGAAGCATGTGTGAAGACCCTCCCCTTTAGAGGGTCCTGGAGAAGAGGGCAAGCAATGGTGATGGATGTTAGTGGGCTCAAGAATCATCTTATGTCTGATTTCCATCTTACATGTACGAAGAGTTCACACCAGTGACAATATTTTTAGTGTCAAGTCTAAGAACTCTTGGTCTAATACTAGATTTCAAAAATGTTGTCCCTTTTACAGCTAAAAGATTTATAGCTTTAGGTTTTAAAGTTAAATCTGTGATTTACTTTTAAATTTTAATTTATTTATTAGTACATGTTTGTGATATATAACAACTACTTTCATTGTGAGTATTTGGTACCTGTACATGACACGTCTTAATACTTTTTTTATGTCCTCTTCTTTTCTCCCCTTCCCCACCCCTTCATCTCCTGGTCCTTGTCCCAGTTGCAGTAGATCTATCTCCTTGTTTCCTTTAATCTATCTTTTATTTTGCTCTTTATTTATACTGTACTTTGGATTACTCATATAAGAGAAACTATTTGGTATTTAAACATGTGTGTCTGATTTATTTTACTTAATATTATTTTTAAGGTGCATTCATTCTTCTACAAAAGGTTCAAATGTATCCTTCTTTATAGCAGAATAGTATCCAATTCTGTATAAATATTGTATTTTCTTTATCCATTTGTCTGTTGATGGACATACAGGTTGCTTCCAAGATTTGGCTATTATGAATTCAGCTGCTAAAAATATTGGTATGCATGTATTGCTATAATGTGATGTCTTTAACTCATTCAGAACGATACCTAGAAGGAGAATAGCTCGATCAAATGGAATTTCTATTTTTAGTTTTCGATGAATCTCCATACTGATTTTCATACTGGTTGTACTAGTTTACGTTCCCCCCTCCCAACGATACAAGAGGGTTCCTTTGTCACTACAACCTTGCCAGCATTTATTATTTGATTTCTTGATGATTGCCATTCTTCCTGGTATAAGGTAAAATCTCAGTGTTGTTTTAATTTGCATTTTTCTAATGGACAGTGATGTTGAACATTTTTCATGTATTTATGGGTCATTTATATTTCTTCTTCTGAGAAGTGTGATCTATTGTAACATTATTTTTGTGTAAGGTTTGAGACTTAAGGTTCATTTTTTTTTGCCTAGGGATGTCCAATTATTTGGAATTGTGCTAAAGCTCTACATAAATTTGAGGAAAACTGATATCTTTACTATACTGAGTCTTCCAATCCATGAGCTCCTGTTTATGTATTGGTGTTTATTCAGCTCTTCACTGATTTCTTTCATTAATACTTCACTATATAGAGCCCACCCTGGGTATGGATGACACCACCCAAAGGGTGGGTAGCCTAGAAGGGATAAAAAGGAAAGGCAGGCTGCTGCTGCTGCCTCGCTTGTTGCTTGTTACTTGTTGCTTGCTGCTTTCTGCCTGCCTGCTCTGCAATGCCCCTTTGCCATCCCACCATGTCTTGGAGCCTGACAACTATGAACTGACACCTCTACAAACTGTGAGCTACAATAAACTATTCCTTCTTTAATTAATTAATTAATTTATTTATTTATTTATTTTGGTACTGGGGATCGAACTCAGGACCTTGTGCTTGCAAGACAGGAAGTGGAATCACTGAGCTAAATCTCTGGCCCAAACCATTCCTCCTTTAACTTTGAGTGTTGGGTGTTGTGTCTCAGCAATGATAAAAGTAACTAAAACAGCATCTGGGATGTTTCCAATATTTATCTATTACAAATTGTGCTGCTATAAATATGGGTGCGCACATATCGCTGTGGTGTGATGCTTTTAACTCTTTCAGGAAGAAAGAGTTCACCAAGAAGGGGAATAGCTGGGCCAAGTGGAACCCCTAGTTTTATTTATTTATTTATTTATCTTGAGGAATCTCCATGCTGGTTGTACCAATTTACACTCCTACAAATACAATTTGCACTCCTACAAATACAAATGTTGTTTTAAAAAATTGGTTTTTTGGTACCAGGGATGGAAATCAGGACCTTGCACTTGTGAGGCAGGTGCAGCACCCCTGAGCTAAATCTCCCCCCCCCAACACACACACTTTTTGCCAGACCATGCTGTTTTGATCATGGTAGTCATGTAGTATAATTTCAAGTCTGGGATTGTGATGTTGCCTGCCTTGCCTTCGTTGCCCAGAATTGCTTCTGCTATTCTAGGTCTCTTCTGGTTCCAAATGAATTTTAGGATTGTTTTCTCTAGTTCTGTGAGTTACACTATTGGTATTTTGATTAGAATTGCATTAAGTCTGTATAACAGTTTTGGAAGTATGGCCATTTTCAGTATATTGGTTCTGCCTATCCAAGAACAGGGGATATCTTTCCATTTTCTGATGTCCTCTTGGATCTCCTTTTTCAGAGTGCCATGCAAAGTTCTTTTACTTCCTTCATTAGATTGATTCCCAAGTACTTCATTTTTTTCGATGTTATTGTGAAAGGAGTGGAAGGCTATTTATTTTTGAGTGTTGACATTGAATCCTGCTATGCTGCCAAACTTGGTTATTAATTCTAGGAGTCTTTTGGGGTCTTCTTTTTTTGGGAGGGGTGTCTTCTATGTAGAGCATCATGTCATCTGCAAACAATGACAGTTTAACTTCCTCCTTTCATATTCTTATTCCTTTCATTTCCTCTTGTATAACTGCTTTGGCTAATGTTTCCAGAACTATATTGAATAGGAGTGGTGATAGAGGGCATCCTTTTCTTGTTCCTGATTTTAGAATGGAAAGTTTCATTTTTTGTCCATTTAGTGTGATTTTGGCTGTTGGTTTGTCATAGATGGCTTTTATCAGATTGAGATAAAGACCTACTCCAATTTTCCATAGGGTTTTTTTTTTTTTAGATGACGAATGGCTGATGGACTTTTTCAAATGCCTTTTCTGTACCTATTGAAATGATCATGTGGCTTTGCCCTTTGTTATGCTAATGTGGTTTCCTATATTGATTTTTCCTGCATCCCTGGGAGGAATCCTACTTGGTATGTGTATAACGTTCTTGATGATTTGCTGTATTCTGTTTGCCATTATCTTATTGAAGATTTTTGCATCTGTGTTCATTAAGGAGATTGGCCTGTAGTTCTCTTTTTCGGTTGGATCCTTCTCTGGTTTTGGTATCAGGGCAATGCTTGCTTCCAGGAATAACTTTGGGAATATTGCTTCCCTTTCAGTTTCATTAAAGAGTTTGAGTGGTAGTGGCATTAGATCTTCTCTAAAGTTCTTGTAGAATTCAGCAGTAAATCCATGAGGACCTGGGCTTTTCTTTGTTGGAAGTTTTTAAATTACTTCTATTTCACTGACTGATATTGGGTTATTTAGACTTTTTATATCTTCATGATTCATCTTTGGTAATTCACGTGTATACAGGAATCTGCCCATTTCTTCTGAATTTTCCATCTTACTAGAGTAGAGTTTATCATAGTAGGTATTGTTGGTCTTCTAGATTTCTGCAGGACCTGTTGTGATTTCAATGTTTTCATTCTTTTAAAAAAATTTTTACATCATTTTTTATTTTG